GCCTAAAGGTGCTTAGAAAAGGTTGGATTCAATGCCAGTAAAGACAAGGCAGCATTTATGACTTATAGAGTTATACTTCTTATCCACATAGCTGCAAGGGCCCGCATGATGCAAGCTTTCATCGGCATGAACCTGTTATACACTGTGCCTTTATCACAAAGTGGAACTACAAATCCTGTGATGTTTTTGAATTAAGTGAAGACTATATTTTTCATTTATGTGAGAGACATAAGGATGCACGTAATCATTCTAACTTGTGCAAACCAATTTGACACTAAAAATGTTTAATAAGATTAGTGTGTGTGTGTGTGTGTGTGTGTGTGTGTGTGTGTGTGTGTGTGTGTGTGTGTGTGTGTGTGTGTGTGTGATAGAAAACATGAATTATTGCAGTGATTAAGCGTGCTGTAGTTATTAAACGCAGTGGTTTGTATCATATCTATCTAATAGACTCCAGTTTGTGCATGTAAATGGAGAGTCCTCTTCACACACTGAGGTTAATTATGGAGTTCCACAGGGTTCAGTGCTAGGACCAATTCTGTTTACATTATACATGCTTCCCTTAGGCAGCATCATTAGAAGACATAGCATACATTTACACTGCTATGCAGATGACACCCACCTTAGGTGCGACCATAAAGGGAGTGACTTTTTTTAAGTGGCAAGTAATTTCAGATGCAACGTTTCTATCAGCTCAACAAACTGCACACAAACTGTTTGTGTGCAGTTTGTCTCACAGTGTGTTGCCAGCTAAAAGGTCCAGCTGCTTATTTCACAGGAAGAGAAAAGAAAGAGCTAACCTCACTCAGAGATGGAGAAAGATAAGAAAGACAGGAGAGGAAGAAGAGAGCTTTAAAGGGAAGGATGATCAGGAGAAATGTAAAGCTCACATGTAAGTCGTCATGTTTTTAAATCAGCTCTTGGGTCTGTACATGTGACATTATGTTTTTTCATATTGTGAAACCTGCTGCTAAACAAACTGAGGCAGAATAACAGTTTTGTAAAGGCTGCATGAAAATCCTCTGCAGGTTAGTGCAGGACAAACAGGTTAGTTTGCTGCACTGTGATGGATTTAAAGTAAAGGACAGTGTGTGACTGGTGCACAGTGGCTGTGGTTTCATCGTTAGGTTACCTCAAGTGTAGCAGAGATTCATATACATTGTAGCTGATGATGCTGAGATCCATTGACTGAATTCCACCTTCACACCAACTGTATAGTGTCTAATATAAAGACAGCGTAAACAGTCAGTGTAAAGGATGAAATCAGCCAGGACCGCTTATGAAACATCTGCTCACATCTGGTTGAATTCAGCTGTGTACATCCACAGCGAGCAGCAGGTCAGCTGATCACAGCCTGTACACTAAAAAAATCTGCTGGAGCTCTGTTATGATTTGTTTCACCACACTGAGACATTACAACCCCAGCCTGCTGAATCCCTCCTGACTGTACATATTTTACAATGTAGGCAACAGAAAATAGAAATAGATTTTCCTTCTTTTTCTTCAGATTGAAGCTGATTATAATTAGAATTTAAAAAATAAATTCTATGAACGTTTATATGTTCATAAGCAATTCTGCTCCCAGGTCACAAACATAAAGAAAAACTAGACTAAATAAGCTGTAATATGTTATATATAAATGTAACTATAACGATTACAAGGACCTCACAGCACAAGCATTACTCCCAACCTATTATAACAGCGTCTTGTACTGTAATATATGTAATGTTTTATTTATCTGTTATCTTTACAAATGTCATCAAGCAAAGGGAGAACACAGCAAGACACCTGATCAAACAAGGAAGGTTTCTTCTTTAAAATGATTCATTAGTCGAGTGGACATCACATCATTGTTCAATCAAATCCATGTTCAATGATCACTCAGAACGGTCACATTATATCAAACAGAACCTGCTAACTGAGCTCTGAGAGCGGGCAGTTCATTGAACTTGTAGATTCAAGCTGCGTTTCATGTTTTTGCCAAAATGATGGCACCAAAGCAGACTGTATTGAAAACTTAACTCAAGCTTCATTAGGCCATCACTACTGAATAGCCATTTCAGTTTTATTGTAGTGTAGGTGGTAGGCTAAACACCAAGCATGTGATTAATAGGTGACCTGCTGAACTACAGCCAAAGATGTGGAGAATGAATCTGCTGAAGACCAGAAAATGTCTGTTTGTTAGCAAAAGTATGTAGACAGGTGGAGTTACAGCTAGAGGTTTTTGAAAACCCATTTATCAAAGGAGCAGTGTTAGTAATTTAATTTTAGTGAATAAAGCATGTGACCATAGAGTGGAAAATCACTAATGCATTACACTGTAAGACAAAGAGGGAAGTGTTTCTGGAGATGCAGATCTGGGTTTTATACCCACATAATCTCACCAAGTGCGTGACTAATGACAGATTTGTTGCATTCCTTTTTTTGGGAATATCCAGCAGCATTACAAAAGATCAAAACTGATTGGCCTTTTACGGTGGCCTTTGATTTAATGAGCCAAATATTCACTTTTAAAAACAGACTTTTATTGTAGTTCTGAACATCAGTGTTACTGGTGACGAAATCAAGATTTGTTGGATATTTGCAATAAATCAATCATCTGTAATCATGTGTGCTTTTGTTGGAACGAACCAGGAGGAGCTAGATTAGAGATGAGTTTATCTGAGAGATAAACTAGATGTCCATGGAGGCTTTTCTGTGTGAACTAGAGATGGCACGATACCACTTTTTTATGTCCGATACCGATATCATAAATTTGGATATCTGCCGATACCGATATGAATCCGATATAGTGTGTTTTAATCAACAAAACTGTTTTTTAAATATCTTGCTGCATTTTGTATAAGTTCATACTCAAGTTTAAAACAACAACTACACTAAAGCTATTCTGTTATACCTGTATGCAAAAAAAAAAATTTCATAGTTCAGCAATACTGATCAATCTAATAAACTTAAACCTACACCATCCTCCCTATTCTGGTATTTTAAAGAGTACTTAGCATAAATATTAAGCAACCTAACTAAAAGGGTTCCAACTCCCAGCAACAACAAAAATAAATAAATAAAAAATAAGGAACCACCCCTCACGCTCCACCTCATGATGCTTAATCAACATAATCAACCTTAATTTGATGCAGTGCACAGAAAATGCACAGAAATCAATTATTTTTCAAGAAATATTAAATAGATTCAACATCTTTCTTCTACAGAACTGCAGACTGCACAGATGGTACCTTCCCAAAGAAAAAAGTACTATAGCTTACTAGGGTATATATATTAGACTTAATAGTCACTATATACAGTAATTGACTTCTATTCATTTTGCATCAAATTAAAACTTTGGGTGTCAGATAATTTTTTATTAAAAGCTAGACATTTTAAATGAGAATAAGAAAGAAAAGTATGTCTTTGTGCCCCTTTTCCCTGTTAATGCCCTATCGGCCCCCCTGGCTAAACTTTGCTAGATGCGCCCCTGCACAGTTACCAGCGTCAGCTACGTAGAAAAAGATCCTGGAGTAGAAAGAAATATTAAATAAATTCTAACAACAGCTTATCAAGCTTAAACGTGCTGCTGTTGTTCAGCCACTGGTTTCCTCTTTCTGGTGCAAAGTGGGCCAAAAACAAACTAGAGACACGGACTCGCGACAGAAAAGCCGATCAGCTGATCATTAAGCAGTTTCATGATTGAAGTAGCAGCAGGAGAGGCAGTCGCTCCATATATCGTTTGTTAAGCTTAATGCAGGAATGCTTTACAAACATTCAGAGATGGACTTACACACTTGCTTTACTTCTCTCGGGATAACTTTGTCGGAGATGAAATGCCGGGTTGCTAGCGAAGCTCCAAATGCTATCCAGACCACCGACAGGTCCCGCATGCCACAGCCGCTCTATCACGTGATGCACACTGCTCCGACGTGCTAACGTTCTGAGGTGAGTTACGGCGTGTTGCAAGTTTTGTGAGGTGCTTTCGTGATATTTAATGGATCGGATTACATTTTTTATTTTTCTCCGATATCCGATCCAGTAATTTAGGTCAGTATCGGACCGATACCGATACGTAATATCGGATAGGTCCATCTCTAATATATATATATATATATATATTAGAGATGGACCGATACCGATACGTAATATCGGATAGGTCCATGTTTAGTGTTCGAGTTTATAAAACAAATATCTCTGTATCTTCTATCATTGTAGGATCTACTGTACAATATAAAGCACCTTGAGGCAACTGTTCTTGTGATTTGGTGCTATTTAAATAAAATTGAATAGAATTGAGTCATTCAGAAAGATGTTTCAGTCTAAACTATCATGTGATAGATTACAGTCTCGTGTCACAGTAAAGCTCCCTCAGCAACAACAGAAAATATCTGAGCCTCACTAATACAGCAAGTTTTACATGTTTTTATTGTCTGTATTTCTTCCAGCTGGTTATTGTCTGCCAAGGAATAGAAATTTCGGTTACTATGGCGAGTTTGGTTAAGCTGGTGGAAAATATGACTTTGACATTTAGCTGATGTGTAACCTAGTTATTAGTAGTGACGGTCTGTGAAGCTCCAGTGCATGTGACAAAAAACAAACCACACTATGCTTCAGAGGCTCTGTGTCAAGGTACCCCTGTCCCCCCACTGGGACATATTGTTTTATTGTGTATTCTATTTTCATTGTTGTTAATGTTGATACCAATAGACATGTGGCGGGTCTGCACCTCATCTCTGCCCCTACTTTAACCCCGCTGCTATGGCCCAATAAATATACCGTCTGAATAAGGCCACCAAACAGCTCACAGCCTCTTCATCAGAAACTACAAAGTACCGATACTGTTATTATTGTTGACATAACGACAGCAGATGCATTGACGTGGCTGTTCAAACTAAACACTGTTCACAGCTTTAGCGGAGAAAATGCGTTTCAGCTCATTTGGTTCCGCCCTCTTTGCGTCAAAACTTCTTGAGGGCGGAACCACTGACAGACTTATCCCAGTGAGGCGTCCACACGGACTCATTAACGGAAGCGCACTCGGACTCGGAAGCGTTTCGGTGTGGGAAGCAGAAGGATGTCTCTTCAGTCGGTGCTGGTGCCTCTCTTCAAACTGTACTTATGCGGAATTAAAGTTCTTCTCTACCAAATTTTCAACCGCTCCTTTACGCTCCCAGGTCAGTCCCGCTTCTCTCTTACACAGCTCTGTGTCTGCTGGTTTGTGCCTGATGCATATTTGTCACCATGTGCGGTACTGATGTCGTGTCGTCGTCGACAGAAGCGCCTGCAGGTATAGAACTGCTCGGTCAGCTGCAAGAACAGGACACGGAGAGTTTGAAGTACTCGTTAGTCCGTGATTCCGATCGATAGTGTGAGGAAGATGTGATTTCAGCCAGAGCCGTGCGGTGCGTGTGTTTGCGGCTGAACAGCAGTTAAAGTAGCGTTTTCTAACTCGCAAACGGTTTTATGCTGGGATGAGATTAAACTGAGATGATTCTTACGGTGAGTCCGTCTCCTCGTGGGCTCCTGCGCGGGCTGTGACACAAAGGGGACTCAGATCGCATCAGAGCAATCCTGTTTTCAAAGGAGGTTCATTTAATTTTCATTATCAATCATTTGTTTTTATTTCTTACACTGATTCATGTTTGTACACTTCCTGTGATGGTGAATGCACTGACCTTTACACGCACGTTTCTATGCTTTTTCTATTGACGTGCATTAATGTCCCCAGGGACAAGCTTCATACCCCACTGAGCTCATAGGCACTGTGGTAAAGGTGTGACATGAGAGCCGCTTTGTCTTTACAAATGCAAAGAAAAACCTGTGGAGCTGTAACAGCCTGGGCCCAGTAAAACTGTGACAGAGGTAATAAGAAGTGGCTCTCTGAAGCATGTTTTACCAGCTGTTTTAGTCCGAACTAAACTATATTTATATAACATTAGTGGTGCAACGGATCCAAAATCTCACGGTTCGGATCAATTTTACGGATCTGCGAAATGTAACATTTACTTATTGAAGTATTTTTGCCTGTTAAAAACATTCAGCTCAAGACTCATTCCACGCAATTATAAAAAAAATGATGGTACAATATGGGGCAGTACAGTCTTTGTATCTACCACTCAATTCAATTTTATTTATAAAGCGCCAAATCACAACAACAGTCGCCTCAAGGCGCTTTATAATGTAAGGTCGACCCTACAGTAATACACACCGCTCGTTATATCGCACTCTGCTGTGATATAATGAGCGGTCACGTAGCTTTCCGTTGCCCTGGAGCTCCACCCGTTTGTAGTAGTTGGGTAACAGAAGATGCCTGGGACAGTTCAGCCATAACTTTAAACTTTTCCTGCTCATACATGCTTGGAACGATGTTGCCACTGAAGTGGACGCAAACGGGATATCACAGCGTGGCTCAAGCACGTCCATCATAGTTTAAACCCCTTGTTTTGCGCAACAGAATACGGCCTCCCGTCTGCAGCTAAACACCCCAACAGCTTCTGTAATAGCTTTAGCCCGGTCGGGCTGGGCAGCAAAGGGCTGCTCAAACTTAGAGCCCCCGAGAGCAGCCAGTTGGCTTTTCTACCTTTAAAACCCGCCTACCAGCCAAATGGCTTTTAGCTAGGCTTTAGCTTCAGCCAAGTGGAAGCTAAATTGGCTAGTCATTCATATGTAAATTGGGTTGTTACCTGAGAATTCTGGAGGGGAGTGGGGGTGTGTGAATGATTGCTAATTTCTAACTGCCAACTGCCTCTTTGTTTGTCGGGGGGGAGAGCTGCTAAAAGCTGTGAACTTCCTTTTGTGTTCGTCTTGATGCATTCTCAATCATCCAGGGAAATAAATCTCCAAAAGTCACCAACTTGGAGTGTTTCAGTTTGCCATCTTAGGGAGAAATCAACACACATGGGTGTATGTCCTTTGTTGCTGAGATTTATTGATAAAAACGGTATAAAACAACCATTTGTACACATATTTACAAATAATAATAAAAAGTGAGTGAGTACATTTCAACATTTTCAGCAATCACTCACAATCCTGGCACTGCCGTGGTATCTGTAGTCTGCATTTACCACATGTGTATCTGTAGCCAAACGGAAGAAGACAGTCTATATTCTTAGCAGCATGCACAGTGTGGTTCAGACTGATAACACTACCAAAAGGAAGCCAAACACTGTCACCCTTTACAACAAAACAAAGTGTGGCGTGGATGTGATGGACCAGATGGTTCGGGAGTACACTGTCCGCAAAGGAACACGGCGCTGGCCAGTTGCCGTGTTTTATAACATGATTGACATGGCAGCACTGAATGCACATGTGCTGTATCAAGCATGCACCGGGACGAAGGAAAGACGGGTGGACTTCCTGGTGGAGCTTGCAAGAGAGTTGGCTCACTCTCATGTAGCTGCGAAGAAGGCAAGAAAAGAACAGTTGCTTCGGACACAACCCTCCACACATAGCCCTGGAAAAAGAGCCACGTGTCAGGTCAAACACAAATGCAAGAACAATCATGCCACTGTGCGACGTGTTCACTGCTACAGATACACATGTGGTAAATGCAGACTACAGATACCACGGCAGTGCCAGGATTGTGAGTGATTGCTGAAAATGTTGAAGTGTACTCACTCACTTTTTATTATTATTTGTAAATATGTGTGCAAATGGTTGGTTTTTTGTACCGTTTTTATCAATAAATCTCAGCAACAAAGGACATACACCCACGTGTGTTGATTTCTCCCTAAGATGGCAAACTGAAACACTCCAAGTTGGTGACTTTTGGAGATTTATTTCCCTGGATGATTGAGAATGCATCAAACTGAAACACAAAAGGAAGTTCACAGCTTTTAGCAGCTCCCCCACCCCCTCATCCACACACCCCCACTCCCCTCCCTCCAGAATTCCCAGGTAACAACCTAATTTACATATGAATGACTAGCCAATTTAGCTTCCACTTGGCTGAAGCTAAAGCCTAGCTAAAAGCCTACCAGCCATTTGGCTGGTGGCGGGTTTTTAAAGGTAGAAAGGTAGAAGGCTGGCCGGCGGGTGTTAAACTCCTCTGCTCCTCCACTTGGACTGCTAGCGCTAACCATAACTACCACTTGACAGACCCACCACGCCACCTTACACATACTTGTTTTTCTTCTGTTTCCTATCTTCGGATCATGTGTGTACCGAACCGTGGAGTGGGATCGGTTCGTATTATGGATCAACGGTGATCCGTTGCACCACTATATAACATGTAATGAAATAATAGTATATGTGAATCCAAACTTTTATTTTTAACCCAGACAGAACTCCTGGGTTAAAGTGGAGTTCAGCAGGCAGGGGAACATCAGCTGTAGTACTTTAACATATCTGAAAGGATCCCAGTGATTCGTGCTGTGAGCTCCAGCAGATCTTTGTGTACCCGTGATTAGCTGCCACGTGTGACCACTGCTGCTCCATAGTGGACTTACACAGCTGACTTCACCATGATCTAACCCAGTGTTTCATTTTTCCATTCCCTACACTGAGGTGGTTTTTCAGGTGAACTTCTCATCGCCAGAAAATGTTTGTTTTTATTTGTTTTTTCAAAATCATAGCAAAAGTATGTAGACAGGTGGAGTTACAGCTAGAGGTTTTTGAAAACCCATTTATCAAAGGAGCAGTGTTAGTAATTTAATTTTAGTGAATAAAGCATGTGACCATAGAGTGGAAAATCACTAATGCATTACACTGTAAGACAAAGAGGGAAGTGTTTCTGGAGATGCAGATCTGGGTTTTATACCCACATAATCTCACAGAGTGCGTGACTAATGACAGATTTGTTGCATTCCTTTTTTTGGGAATATCCAGCAGCATTACAAAAGATCAAAACTGATTGGCCTTTGATTTAATGAGCCAAATATTCACTTTTAAAAACAGACTTTTATTGTAGTTCTGAACATCAGTGTTACTGGTGACGAAATCAAGATTTGTTGGATATTTGCAATAAATCATCTGTAATCATGTGTGCTTTTGTTGGAACAACAAAAGCACACATGATGCTAGATTAGAGATGAGTTTATCTGAGAGACTGCTCAGGTTGGAGGCGGGGCTTTAGACATCTACACAGTAGGATTGTCAAGAAAAAAATGTTACTCCAGTATTTATTGATACGAAAATGAATACAGAATTACGATACTTTGCATCAATATTGATACAAACAGCTTAAGAGGAATGTTAGAGGTCTGTAAAGCTCCCGTTTCAGCAACATTGAAGTTATCATAAATGTTAACCTGGATGATGCACACATTAACATTAGACACTTAACTATTAGTTCAGTGGCTATCAGGTAATTGCTGGGTAATCATTGCTGTGGCAGCTAGCAAACTGTAGCTGGATAGAAGAAGAATTGTTCCGGCTCAGCTGGTCACAGATGGAGTGACCAGGGCAGATTATATTGGCACAATATAAATATTGTTTCTTATTCTTTTCAATTAAAAAAATTCAAGGGAATGTATATTTCTAATCTTCAGCTCATTGTTGTTACATCATAATATAATAATGATACAAAACAATTAAAGGAACACTTTGAAAACACATCAGGTCTCAATGGGGAAATAAATCTATACTGATATGGAGTGGGTTGATAGAAATGACACAAGACTGAGCATTTCCTTGCAGCAGGTGGGACCTAGAACTAACTGCATAGGGTTTGACAGTGGGTCTAGGGTAGTCTGAGTGCTGTTATCCAGCCTGTAGAGATCGGTGCGTTGCTCCATGGATATACCCTACCAAACTCTCACTGACCCACGGCCGAATGCTGCACGTTCTCCGCAGTATTTCCAGACCCTTTTACATCTTTCACGTGTACTGAGTGCTGCAGGTACTACGGCTGCTGCTTTGAAAACCACAGAGCCCCACTAGTGGACGTGACAATTCCAAAATTCTATGGCAAATGCTAATTAGGCTCCACAGGGCCAAACAGTAAGCACATAATCCGCTGGAGGACCTCGGACCCTCAGGCCACTCTCATGAAGTCTGTCCCAGGGACAGCAGCAGGGAAGCCCAGACCTCCCTCTTGCCACTTCTTCCATCTTATCTGAAGGAACATCAAGATGTTCCCAGGGAACAGATACACACTCTCCAGTGTGTCCTGGGTTTACGCCGGGGCCTCCTCCCAGTAGGACATGCAGGGCTGGAACACCTTATCCAGAAGAGG